GTAAATGATATTCTTAATTTAAACGAAGTCGTATAATTTGTTTCCAGCCTGTTCTATGAAGATACCTAAGTCATTAACACGACTATCTTAATAATTAAAATCAGGAGATAATAGCATATATTTCAAGAGAGACCTCTAGGTTACGCCTCTTCACTGGATCCAGTAATAAACTGGAAGCCGTTTTCATTTCATTTTTAAACGTCAATATTTCGTGTTTTACATTAAAGGGGAATAGCCTTTTAAACTTGTGGAACACATTATATACAAGGTCTATCAAGGCAGTTTGTGTAATTTTAGTTATCTCTTTAGAAATTAGTGTTCAAATTATCGCAATCTTTTTCCTAACCTCTTTTCTCCAACTCTATACACACGTACGCGTGTGTTCTTAAATTTTCAGCCCTAGACATATGAACATCTGTTCGTGAATCATTTTACAAGATTAAGTAATTATAGTATTTTTGTGCCATCTAAGTACTGCCTGCATTTGTAATTGTGGGAATTGTGGGTACGGCGTAGACTTAGCTTACCCACAGGGACTTGCACTTGACCAAACTGCAAAACTCCCTTCTATTATTATTTATCTCAGCCTTCAACACTAGCTACTATACTCTCAACAGCTGCAATGGTAACTATTTTCCCTACCCTCCCAACACTATCCTTCCTCTTACCTTCACCATCCTGTATTCTATCCTCTCACCTCCAACACTATCCTCTCCTCTTCTCCAGCACTACGTATCATCCTCTCACCACCAACACTATCCTGCTGTTATTTCCACCCAGCTTTAATACATTACAATTTCCAGGCGTCTCACATCCCCCTCTTTAAACTACCACAGATTAACCTCTCTCCCGCAAAGGTAATTACTGTTAATGCATCAAAAATGTATGTACTCCCAAATCTCTTTCATGTGTTGCTTTAAACTCTGCAAAAATAACTATGCTTTAGATACTTGTTTAATCAGGTACAATATTAATATTCTACTTTTTGTTGCAGGTTTTGGTTAGGATTACTGAAAGAATCATTACATTTTTATAAACAGGAGTTTAAATATAATTAGCAAATGACAAAATGTAACATTTAAAAAAATATTTTTTTTTACACTAGGGAAAAATAGCCTGGAATGATTTTCTTGATGGGTGAGCAAAATCTGTGCACAAATTAATAACAGGAACAAGAGCGAATGGGGATGAAAATGGGGAAGAGTGATAACACCTAAAGATGTATATCTCAATGTATATATGCTGAGAATTTACTTGAGTCTGTCTTTTGGAGATTAGAAATATCCTTGTTTCGGGAAGAAACCTTAACAACTCTCGGGTAGTTGAGAGGCTTTAAACGCAAGTGACCTGACCCAGTGGTGACACACATACAAACACAAAAAGTCCTTGTTGGTTACAAGAAGTATACGGGAAACAACTTTAACCTTAGAGCACCGTATTAATCTCAGAGGAGCTATGATAACATTGACAAAACAGACACTGATGTACCATTTATTATTTTAACGGGGGTCAAGCAGTGCCTCAGGAATATTAAGTAATCCGTGTTGCTCCAGGAATAGAGAAGCTTCAGTTTATTGGATCAAGAGTACTTAGCCAGCATCAAGGCACCCTCAACAGAGAGTAGATATGATAGAGCCAAAGAGAATATAAATACGGTGACTAGTCGATGGAAGCTCACCTCTCACGGCTGGAAACAGGAAAGTACACATGACGGGGAGCGCAGACAAACTGAATAACAGCAACGTATACAAGGCTGGCAAACTTAATTATAGCCTTGAGGAACTTGAACAAGGATCCATTCAGCAGGGTGTTCAGCATGTAAGGCCAGAGTCTCTGTCTATATCGCCACGACTCACGAAATCGTAATGACACGATTGCAAACAAACCATACCCCGGCCGGGATTGAACCCGCGGTCAGAGAGTCTCAAAACTCCAGCCCGTCGCGTTAGCCACTAGATCAGCTAGCCACAATAAGATTCGTCCAACTAGGTATATTTCTACACCATAGGAAGGTTAGCACAGGCACCACTGTGACCACAAATGCAAGTTTTTACAGACGAATCTCCAGCTAGCGTGGCCGTGACGAACTCTAGCTCAAGTCCCTTCACTGCCGTCAACATGACTCACGAAATCGTAATGACACGATTGCAAACAAACCATACCCCGGCCGGGATTGAACCCGCGGTCAGAGAGTCTCAAAACTCCAGCCCGTCGCGTTAGCCACTAGACCAGCTAGCCACAATAAGATTCGTCCAACTAAGTATATTTCTACACCATAGGAAGGTTAGCACAGGCACCACTGTGACCACAAATGCAAGTGCTAACCTTCCTATGGTGTAGAAATATACCTAGTTGGACGAATCTTATTGTGGCTAGCTGATCTAGTGGCTAACGCGACGGGCTGGAGTTTTGAGACTCTCTGACCGCGGGTTCAATCCCGGCCGGGGTATGGTCTATATCGCCACCTTGGGATGCCTACCCGGGAAAGCACATAAAAAATGGTGTAGAGAAGATTCAATGGTTTGTGGCTAGTTAAGACTCCGGGAGCTATATCTCACCCTACTAGAGGAGCGATTATCCAGAGGTGCTATGATCAGTACGTATAAGATATACAGCGTTATTGACTACAGGATCAGTGACAAATTATTAGACAACGATAAACCCAGAACTAGGAGATGAATATTTAAACCGGATAACAAGTTGAGTCACAGCCATATTAGAAAGATCTTCTGCAGTCGCTACAACTTGCGGAACGAGGAATGGAAACGACTCAGTGTTCAACAGTAAAGTGTAAATCTTTGGGATGCATTTTGATGTTGCAATGTTAATGTAAATCTGCATACTAAGCCTAGTAAGAAAACTGTGAAATTTACATGCATAAGATGCTTGACACTAGTGACTGCACAAGCCAGTGTCATCAAGGTTTTGTACCTAGGTCAACTTTGCTGACAGACTGGAGACATCTCTTGTGCCACATGATGAACAGGTATCAGCAATGTCACTCAGATTGCTCATTTTCCCAAATTATGAGTATTAATATAATCAAATTAAGCTCTAAACCCATAAGGGTCATAGAGCGTTGATTATTTTCTGGCGAAATTTCAGTCCTTCTACTCATAACAAGATAAAAAAAAAATCAAGAAATCAAATCATGTGATGAACTGCAATATTTGGCTGCCAGATAACTCAAATTTCACCCAGCAGCCTATTGTGTGTTTTTCACAACAACGGATAGAGTGCTCGATACAAGGAAAGCACATTCATCATCTCTCATTCTCTAGCTGGTTGGATAGTAGCTATTGGCGTCTCATTTTACAAAATGAGTGTTACCCTTAAACGCGAAGAAAGAAATACTGCTAAAGTTACTAATTACAAAGACAGAAAAAAAGAAAAACACACGACTTATCGCTCACTACACACACACACACACACACACACACACGCACACACACACACACACACACACACACACACACACATATATATAAAATATATATATATATATATATATATATATATAATATATATATATATATATACATGTATGTATATATATATATATATATATATATATAAATATATATATATATATATATATATATATATATATATATATTATTGATGGAAGCTAAAAAATGAATGAAGTATCGGGTACACGAAGCCTCATATTTTGCTTGTCAGGCTATTATATATAACCGCATTAATGTTGACTAACTGGAAAATTATTGAAATCCCAACTCTAATGAGCTTAATTATGAAGGGAAAATCCGATTAAATGAGGCAAGCATAGGCATGTTCATATTTTTTTTAACCGAAAATGAGGTAGGCTCATTTTTTTCATTGTTTTATGAACGTATTTGATGAGGATATTCATCTGAAATCGAAAAAAATGAAGTCATTAGCGACAATCGAAAACTGAAAAATCCGTTGGTAGTCATGCAGCGACTGAAAGGAAGGTAATCTGGTTTGATCCAAGGAAGAGGAACGCAGCTTCAGTTCTTTCAAGTGAGAACTTTGTACTCAAGTGAAAGAACTGTAGTGATCGGGTTTCTAAACCTCGAGTTACTGGTACTAGGATTACCAGCTTGATGTGGTCGGCCACTTGACCACAGAGAACACCTGAGGCTGGTACTCCTTGCAACCCCAGATCGCCGGTTCGAAACCCCGGTCGCTAGAACGAAACGTTTTCATTCTTTCGTTACGGAGTTTCAAACAACTCCTGTATGTGTGTTGTGTATAACTACCGAATCCTTATAATTTTCTTCATCATCATCATCATCATCATAATAATAATAATAATAATAATAATAATAATAATACAAATAATATGAATAATAATAATAATAACAGTAATAAAAATATCAATAATAATAATAATGACAATAATAACATTAAAAATATCAATAATAATAATAATAATAATAACAATAATAATAGTAATAATAATAATAATCATAACAGTAATAATAATAATAATAATAATAATAATAATAATAATAATAATAATAATAATAGAGGTGAAAACAATAATACTAATACTAATAACAATAATAATAGTAGTAGTAGAGGTAAAAACAATAATACTAATGCTAATAACAATAATAATAATAATAATAATAATTGCACTCCCTCGTGAGGTCGTCTGCTATCTAAGTTCTCTAAAATGCCAGCATTCGAAATGAGTTCAATCACGTCAGTTCCCTAATTTTCTTTCGGAGCTACAATTTGCCTGATGGATTATTCCAGCTCTGCGTTAGTCAGTATTGGAACTCATGCACTGGACATGCTGAAATACATCAGGGGTTAGATGGAGCGTTCACAAATCATTCAGCCAACCTACTCCTCGTTCATCTACCAATCTGACATATTAGCTGGGGGAGTCATAGCCACCTTTGGTTCTCGCTCTGCAACTAAGATACAGGATAAGGTTGTAGCACAGTGCTGATACATGTATATCAGATTTAGCTACAAAAAAAAAAAAAAACTAGCTCCCCGCTCACCTTGTCGTGGATCTCGTAGTCCAGTGCTGCTGCCAGGGTGATGAGGCCAGAACGCTGGTCTATGGTGAAGAGACCGTCTTTATTACCTCCAGTGATGCTGTACCGTACTTCACCACCTGTGGCAGAGAGGAGTGTTAAGCTTGGGTGTTGTGGGCGTGTATTCAGTACAGTACTCACCCATTTGTACTTACCTGTCTATGGTTGCAGGGGTCGATTTTCTGCTCTTGGCCCTGCCTCTTAACTTGCCATTCGTCGGAACCTTATCGTACCTGCTCTTAAAACTATGTATGAAGTCTGCTACATAATGCGTGTTGTGTTTTATTTGTGTAGGTGTGTGAGTGCATGTGTGTGTGTGCAAGTGTGTGTTTGTGTGTGTGTGTGTGTGTGAGTGTGTGTGTGTGTGTGTGTGTGTGTGTGTGTGTGTGTGTGTGTGTGTGTGGGTGTGTGTGTGTGTGTGTGGTGTGTGTGTGTGTGTGTGTGTGTGTGTGTGTGTGTGAGTGTGTGTGTGTGTGTGTGTACTCACCTAGTAAGGTGTGTGTGTGTGTGTGTGTGTACTCACCTAGTAAGGTGTGTGTGTGTGTGTGTGTGTACTCACCTAGTAAGCTGTGTGTGTGTGTGTGTACTCACCTAGTAAGGTGTGTGTGTGTGTGTGTGTGTGTGTGTGTGTGCATCTTCATTGTCTTGTGTTCATTTTATTTTTCTATGAATATCCCTTAAGAATACATTTTCTTAAACTGATTAGAAAGAACATGAAAAAATAAGCCATGGATACATTTAAATTAAATCAGTTTCAGAAACAATATTCAATCGCTTTCACACACAAACACACTCTCTCTCTCTCTCTCTCTCTCTCTCTCTCTCTCTCTCTCTCTCTCTCTCTCTCTCTCTCTCTCTCTCTCTCTCTCCTCTCTCTCTCTCTCTCTCTCTCTCTCTCTAGTAAAGCAAAATATGTTTTTAGCTGTACCCAGCATTCCTTTCATACACAGTGACAATTTGTGCGCCTCAAATACACAGGACTATTTTCAGCTAACAGCAAAATAAATATAGTGTGTGTGTGTGTGTGTGTGTGTGTGTGTGTGTGTGTGTGTGTGTGTGTGTGTGTGTGTGTGTGTGTGTGTGTGTGTGTGTGTGGTGTGTGTGTGTGTGTGTACTCACCTAATTGTAGTTGCAGGGGTCGAGACACAGCTCCTGGCCCCGCCTCTTCAATGAACGCTACTAGGTCCTCTCTCTCCCTGCTCCATGAGCTTTATCATACCTAGTCTTAAAGTTATGTATGGTTCCTGCCTCCACTACATTGCTCGCCAGATTGTTCCACTTCCTGACCACTCTATGGCTGAAGAAATGCTTCCTAACGTCCCTGTGGCTCATCTGAGTTTTCAACTTCCAAGAGTGACCCCTTGTTTCTGTGTCCCCTCTCTGGAACATCTTGTCTCTGTCCACCTTTTCTATTCCACGGAGTATTTTGTATGTCTTTATCACGTCTCCCCTGACCCTCCTGTCCTCCAGTGTCGTTAGGCTGATTTCCCTCAACATTTCTTCACAGGGCATTACCCTTAGCTCTGGAACTAACCTTGTCGCAAACCTTTGCACTTTCTCTAATTTTTAACGTGCTTGACCAGGTGCCGGTTCCAAACTGGTGCTCCATACTCCAGTATGGGCCTGATGTACACGGTGTGCAGTGTCTGGAAAGATTCCTTACTTAGGTATCGGAATGCTAATTTCAGGTTTGCCAGGCACACATATGCTGCAGCAGTTATCTGGTTGATGTGTGCTTCCGGAGACGTGTTCGGTGTTATACTCACTCCAAGATCTTTCTCTTTGAGCAAGGTTTGCAGTCGTTGGCCATCTAGCCTATACTCTGTCTGCGGTCTTCTTTGCCCTTCTCCGATCTTCATGACTTTGCATTTGGCAGGGTTGAGTTTGAGAAGCCAGTTGCTTGATCACATGTGTGTGTGTGTGTGTGTGTGTGTGTACTCACCTAGTTGAAGTTGCAGGGGTCGAGTGCGAGCTCCTGGCCCCGCCTCTTCACTGGTCGCTACTAGGTCACTCTCCCTGAACCGTGAGCTTTATCATACCTCAGCTTAAAGCTATATATGGATCCTGCCTCCACTACATCGCTTCCCAAACTATTCCACTTCCTGACTACTCTGTGGCTGAAGAAATACTTCCTAACATCCCTGTGATTCATCTGTGTCTTCAACTTCCATCTGTGTCCCCTGTGTGTGTGTGTGTGTGTGTGTGTACTCACCTAATTGTACTCACCTAATTGTGGTTGCAGGGGTCGAGACTCAGCTCCTGGCCCCGCCTCTTCACTGATCGCTACTGGATCCTCTCTCTCTCTGCTTCCTGAGCTTTGTCATACCTCTTCTTAAAACTATGTATGGTTCCTGCCTCCACTACTTCACTTGCTAGGCTATTCCACTTGCTGACAACTCTATGACTGAAGAAATACTTCCTAACGTCCCTGTGACTCGTCTGAGTCTTCAGCTTCCAGTTGTGACCCCTTGCCCCTGTGTCCCCTCTCTGGAACATCCTATCTCTGTCCATCTTGTCTATTCCCGCAGTATCTTGTATGTCGTTATCATGTCTCCCCTGACCCTTCTGTCCTCCAGTGTCGTCAGTCGATTTCCCTTAACCTTTCCTCGTACGACATTCCCTTGAGCTCTGGGACTAGCCTTGTTGCAAACCTTTGTACTTTCCCTCTAACTTCTTGACGTGCTTGACCAGGTGTGGGTTCCAGACTGGTGCTGCATACTCCAGTATGGGTCTAACATACACATGTGTACAGTGTCTTGAACGATTCCTTATTAAGGTATCGGAAAAGCTATCCGTAGGTTTGCCAGGCGCCGTATGCTGCAGCAGTTATCTGATTGATGTGCGCCTCAGGAGATATGCTCGGTGTTATACTCACCCCCAGATCTTTTTCCTTTAGTGAGGTTTGCAGTCTTTGGCCATCTAAACTATATTGTGTCTGCGGTCTTCTTTGCCCTTCCCCAACTTCATGACTTTGCATTTGGCAGGGTTAAATTCAAGGAGCCCCGTTGCTGGACCAGGCTTGTAGCCTGTCCAGATCTCTTTGTAGTCCTCCTGATCCTTGTCCGATTCGATTCTTCTCATTAATTCACATCGTCTGCAAACAAGGACACTTCTGAGTCTATCCCTTCCGTTATGTCGTTCACGTATACCAAGAACAGCACAGGTCCTAGGACTGACCCCTGTGGAACCCCGCTTGTCACAGGCGCCCACTCTGACACCTCGTCGCTTACCATGACTCGTTGTTTCCTCCCTGTCAGATATTCTCTGATCCATTGCAGTGCCTTTCCTGTTATGTGTGCCTGGTCCTCTAGCTTTTGCAGTAACCTCTTGTGAGGAACTGTGTCGAAAGCCTTCTTGCAGTCCAAAAATACGCAGTCGATCCACCCCTCTCTCTCTTTGTCTTACTTCTGTCACCTTGTCATAAAACTCTAGTAGGTTTGTGGACACAGGATTTTCCTTCCCTGAAACCGTGCTGGTTGTCAATTATACACTTGTTTCTTTCCAGGTGCCCCACCACTCTCCTCCTGATGATCTTCTCCATGACCTTGCATACTATACACGTTAGAGATACGGGTCTGTAGTTTAGTGCCTCATGTCTGTCTCCCTTTTTAAAAATTGGGACTACATTTGCCATTTTCCATACCTCAGGGAGTTGCCCAGTTTCAAATGATGTGTTGAAGATCTTTGTTAATGGCTCACACAATATCTCTGCTCCCTCTTTAAGGACCCATGGAGAGATGTTGTCTGGTCCCACCGCCTTTGAGGTGTCAAGTTCGCATAGCAGCTTCTTCACCTCCTCCTTGGTTATATGTACCTCATCCAGCACTTGCTGGTGTGCCCCCCTGTTCTGATTTCTTGGAGTCCTACTGGTTTCCACTGTAAATACCTCTTTAAATCATGTGTTGAGCTCCTGACATACCTCTCGGTCGTTTCTTGTGAATTCCCCATCACCCTTCCTCAGTCTGATTACCTGGTCCTTGACTGTTGTTTTCCTCCTGATGTGGCTGTACAACAGCTTCGGGTCAGTCTTTACTTTTGATGCTATGTCATTTTCATATTGTCTCTGAGCCTCCCTTCTTATCTGTGCATATTCGTTTCTGGCTCTTCGGCTGATTTCTTTATGTTCCTGAGTTCTCTGTCTTCTGTACCTTTTCCATTCTCTAGTACACCTAGTTTTTGCCTCCCTACACCTTTGGGTGAACCAAGGACTCGTTCTGTTCTTCCCATTATTTCTGTTTCCCTTGGGAACAAACCAATCCTCTGCCTCCTTGCATTTTGTTGCTACATAGTCCATCATTTCTTGTACGGGTTTTTCTGTCAGTTCCCTCTCCCACTGAATGTCTTGAAGGAAGTTCCTCATGCCTGAGTAGTTCCCCCTTTTGTAGTTTGGTTTTTCCCAGCCTATTCCTGCTACTCTCTCCACTTGGAGCTCAACTATGTAGTCGAAGCACAGAACCACATGATCACTAGCTCCCAGGGGCCTTTCATACATGATACCCTCGATGTCCGAACTACTCATGGTGAATACAAGGTCCAACCTTGCTGGTTCATCCTCTCCTCTCTCTCTGGTAGTGTCTCTAACATGTTGATGCATGAGGTTCTCCAGTACCACATCCATCATCTTGGCTCTCCATGTTTCGGGACCCCCATGGGGCTCCAGGTTTTCCCAGTCAATCTCCTGTGATTGAAATCACCCATAACTAGTAACTTTGCTCCCCCCATGTGTGCTCTCCTGGCCACCTGGCTAGTGTGTTGATCATTGCTCTGTTGCTCTCATCGTATTCTTCTCTTGGCCTCCTGCAGTTCTGTGGTGGGTTGTACATTACTGCAATTATCACCTTATGTCCCTCAGACTGGATTGTTCCTACTAATTTAGTCCCTTTCGCCCATGCCATCCATTCCTTCCATTTTCTCAAAACCCCACTGGTTTTTTTAATGAGCAGTGCAACTCCTCCTCCCCCTCTTCTCCCTCTGTCTTTCCTGAAGATTTGATATCCGGATGGAAAGATTGAATCTGTTATTATTCTGGTGAGTTTTGTTTCTGTGAGTGCTATTATGTCTGGGGATGTCTCTTTGATTC